ATAAATTATAATAAGTTATAGTAAGTTATAGTAAGCTATGATAAGTTATAATAAGTTATAATAAGTTACAGTAAGTTGCAACAAGCTATGGCAAGTTGTGACAAGTTGTGACAAGTTGTGGCAAGTTGCGACTTGTGATAAGTTGTGACAAGTTGTGATTTTTATTAAATTTTTTAATAAGTTGCAACATATAATTGCAACATAAGTATTACAACATAGTAATTATGGCTATTATCTTTAGTTTAAATAAATTATTAGCTTCAGTTTTTAATAATAAAAAATATTAAATTTAAATAATTACATATATAATTGTTATTATAAATTTGCTATAATTGTCTTCGTATTCCTTAATTTTTTGTGTTCACTAATTGTCTTGTTCGCTATTATTATCCAATAATATGTTCAGCCAATAATTACCTTTCACATGATACGAATGAATCACATGATACGATCCGGATCGAATTCTATATCACGTGAGACTACCCGGCTTTAGTGGACCCCCAAAAAACGGCAAAAAAAAACGCACCAGCGTTTTAGGACATTACGAAAAAATTGGTATAATAAAAATGCGTTTTTTTTGCAGAACGGTATTAGACTTTGCAAATCTTTTTTGCGTTCACCAGATTGCATGTGAGTGAGAATCAGGTGATTAACGATTAACAATGTAAGTGGTGCGTTATTTTTGCAGGCCACTGTATGTTTATGATCGGTCCCCAGAGGGGTGCACTTAGAGAGGTTTGACTGTATTTCGCCATTTTCTAGATGGACGGAAGTAGGAATGAATATTATGAATATTTCGAACGAAAACCCTCAAAATGGGACATTATAGAATTTTTAGAGCAATGTGACCTTGAGCCGTACGAAAAAAAAGTGGATCGATACATTAGGTGCCTCAGATGTATTGCTCGTGGTGAGCAAAAAGAGAGAAAAGAAAAGGCAGAAGAGCTTCTCAGAAGATACAGTGAAGTAAGTAAAATTTTTTGTCAAATATGCAAGTGAAAAATAGTGGCGTGACAAGGACCCAAGATCCACTCGGTGCTTGATCATTCAAGGTCATTCGCATTTTTCGCGACCGCCGAGCCACAAAATCAGTGCTGGAACACAGGCGACCCATGTTGGTAACTCACTCGGTGGTCTGATGTTCAAGGCCATTTGCTTACCTAGCAACCGTTGATCCAGCACTGATCCTACTAGGGCACAGATAACCCTTCAATCGGTTGTCTGATGTTCAAAACCACTCGCTGATCTAGCGATCGTTGACCTTGTAGGATAGAAATCAGGTGGAAAACAGGATATGTTAGTAAAGAATGTTATTAATTTAAATCTTGTTTGCGAAAGGAAAATAAACCAGACAAACAACGCGTCAAGAATTGGGAAAAAACACGTAAATCAAGCAAAATAAGCGGTGGTTCTTCGATTTACATCCACAACCACAATTCGACATTATCAGGAAACTCTTTTGCCGTTGCTGGGAACACTTCAACTACTAAAGCTACTACTAAACGCAAGCGAGAGGGCTTTAGAGGGAAAAAGGTAGTATCTTATAGAAATGCTTTTTTATCTAGAAGTTGAGAATTCGTGAAACTAATTTTAATTATTTAGAACGATGAGGTGCAAGAACAAACAAAGCGAGTACGTTTTGAGGAAAAGTCGAAGAAATTGTCATCAGAAAAAAGGGTCGGTATTTAACTTAAATTTTGTCCGCAAAAAATCGCCTTTTATAGAAGGTAATCTAGTTAATTTTTTTAGGGGGATACGTTGCCTGATGGAACGAAAATTGAAAAGCCAGCTCCTATAAACCTGATACCTGAGGATGATGACGATTCCTCCTGGGATGATGACGATTCCTCCAGATTAGATGACGATCATGATGATAATAGCGATGAAGAAGAAGACGCACCTGCCCCAGAAGAATCTCTCAATTCCGTCTTTAGTGGCCCAAAGAATTGGTTTCTTCCCTCCGGAGCAAATGTTAATGATATTGTTGCCGGAAAATTATCCTCAAATGCGATAGCAATCAAAAAGAAGAGAATATCAGCCTCAGAAAAAACAACATTACGTTATGGATATTCGCGAATAATTGATTTATCCACAAATATGAGGGACTGGTTCTCCATTGATGATAGGAAATTCATGATGAAAGACCACAAAGCTGTATTGCAGGTTCCTTGCATGACAAATGAGGAAAACTCATTTGTGGCAACAGTTGAGGATGTATGTGCAATTTTTCAAATTTAGCTTGTTCTGTATGTGCATGCATATTGAATCATTATTTTTTGAACAGATGATATGTGAAGAAAAAGTAAACGAGGCGTATAAATTTTGTATCGAGAAGCACCTTAGTTCCAAAGAGAATAGCTACATATACAAACTAAGTAAAATATATGGTGACTTGTGAGTAACTTGTTGGCTATTACTATGTACTTTTTTTCTATGCTTTATCCTTCTTTGTGATTTAAATTTTCTGTGTCCAGCATTTATAAATGCAAAGGTCATGTAGATATACTGGATTGCGGGCACACAGAAATCGATGTAATTCTGAAAACCTGTTCGTATATCATTGAAACGTT